CGTTTTAACTACAGGTTTCGATTAAAAAAGTGATTCTAAACAAAAAATGTGCTATACATTTGTTTTATAAAATGATATTTTTCAAGTTATTCGCGATTGAAAGTATCAACTTTTAGACGAACAAATCCACGTTTTTAATCGATTTTTCGCGAATAACTCGAAAATGGTGCATTTTATCAAAAAAATTGTAGATAACAAATTTATAGCTTTTAAAAAGACAAATACAATTCATTTTTTAAAATGTTTTTGCGATATAATAGGAACCGAAATACGGCCTATCAATGTTCAGCGGTTTTCTTCAAATGCCAAATTTGAAATATTCAAAGTCAAATATCGGGAAAATGATGCATTTTTGGAAGAAAACTCACAAAACCTTTTTTAAAGAGCATAAATAGACCTATCATAAAAAAAGACTCTAGCTCAAAAATTGAATGAGTTATGATAAAAATAAGGTCAATACCTCATTTTTTACGAAAAAATCGATGAAAACAACCCTCTAACCACTCCCATAATTAAAATCGATCTTCACCCTTCTGCAATTCCCTTTGTACATGTATTGTTAATACGTCCAAGAATTTTGACCCATTTAAAATGCGTAGTTTTAGAAAAAGTACAGCTTAAAGCGAGAAACGATTTACAATTTTATATGTTTTACCCTTCTTTTTTTAAATATGCCCGAAAATACTGAATATATGAAAAAAAATAAAAATTAACAAATTGTAGCTTTTTTAATGACTAAATTTATCCTTTATTTAGATTTGTTGTACAATGAATATTTGGCGAGATGTTGCCGTTTAAAGCATCGATTTACGATCAAGCACCATCTTTTTCGAGCCATTTAAACTCACCCCATTTAAAAACCAAGGGTTTCAAAAAGATTTAATTCACAGATCCTTGTAGCTCTTAAAAACCTCCACAAATCGTTTTTGAAGAAACACTCTATCGTTAAAAATTAAAGGAAATACGTTAAAAAAACCAGTTAATTTTTTTCCATAAAATTCCATTAGTATAGTACAGTACATTTCGGAGCATAATAATCTACAAAATGCAGTGGGTGCAGAAAAGTTGGTTTATACTGTAACTCTACTTGTTCTGGGTGCTCAGATGAAGGGTGCAATAACAGTCCACTAATAATTGAAGAAAATGAGAATGGCATAGATCACGATGAAGATGTAATTGATGACGAATACAATTAATATTATAATTGTTTTACCTATAAATGTAAATATTTTCAACTATTTATGTAAATGTATAAGAATATATGGTGCCTTTTTATGTTGATAAATATTTTTGTATTTAATTCTACTGTTTTCAATTTATATGTTATAAATTAGTTTATAAAAACTGCAATGTTGTAAATGGTGATTTTCAAAAGTTGAAAAGTTGCAAAATTTTGGCAAAAAATTGTTTTCACCTATAGCACTCATAAAAATTGATTTTTAAGGGTTGAAAATGTATGAATTTGTATTTTGAAGTATAAAAAAATCACTATTTAACTAATCCAAACCAAATTTCACTCATCTTAAGATTTGTAATATTATTTTACAATTTTTGAGAATTAGGGGTAGTTTTCACCCCTAAGAACAATCAGGGTTCATCTGCATGACATAAACTATAAAGAAGAGGGTGAGTTGAGCTTAATTCCAAATTTTTATGCAAATCGTTTCAAGGTGAGATCATTTTCTTCGCATTACTAATTTTTTTATATTAATCTCTAATAAGGGTCGCTTTTTAGAGGTTAAAATATGATTGAACTTTATTCAAAAGCACGAAACTATCATTATTTAATTAATTCAAACCAAATTTTACCCATATTCAGGTTTAATATGTTATTTTATAATTTTTGACAATTAGGGGTAGTTTTCACCCCTAAGAACAATCAGGGTTCATCGACATGACATAAACTATAAAGCAGCGGGTGAATTGAGCTTAAATCCAAATTTTTATCCAAATCGTTCCAAGTCGAAATCATTTTTTTAGAATTAGTAATTTTTTTACATTAATCTCTAACAAGGGTTGCTTTTTAAGGGTTGAAATATGATGGAACTCTATTCAAAAGTATAAAATAATCATTATTTAACTAATTCAAACCAAATCTTACCCACATTCAGGTTTAATATGTTATTTTATCATCTTTGACAATTACGGGAAGTTTTCACCCCTAAAACCCTTCAGCGCACTTCGGTTCGATATAGATTTTGATCCTTGGGCTATCACCTACCTTCTGTTAAAATTTCAACTAGATACATGCAGGACGAAAAAATTGCAAGGTTTTAACTTTTTTCGAGCTTCATTTCCTGAACTATTATCGCTTCCTTACACAAACCCGTCTTACGCAAACAACATTGTTGCGAAACAGATAGTTGAACGATATTTTATACAATGTCTATACCCAGGTATGGATTTATTTTTGTCCAAGTTTTATATTGGGCCACTATTTCAAATGCAGTTCAAACAGACATGTATTAAATTGTATGTTCCGTTTTAATTTGGTTCAATCTGTATGTCAATACAAATACAATACATAGAAAAAACAACAATACATATGTTGATACAAATACATAAACCATAAACCAACTGTTTGTGGGACACCGGGGCACTATCTGGAAGACGGGGTTTCATAATAAATGACTGAGAACTAGGGAAGAACTGAAAAAGAATATGTGGCTTCGGGAAAAGGGACAAAAATCTAAAGATGCAGGAACATTTAAAAGCCTGAAAAATGCCCCACGCCGAGGGCGCCATTTTTGTAACGATATTATTTTGCTTACCTCAGGGTAAGAACATGAGGGGTAGAAGGTTGGGCAAACAAAATAATCGTAACAAATGCGAACTGCACTCAGGGTTTCGTAGGAGAGCTGGGGTCGTGGATAAGTAAAAGATAAAGGGGTTAGAATGGAGCAACTACAAGAAAACAAAATAAAAATAAACAAGAAACACCTCAAGGGATTTAATATAGGGCGCTACTTGAGGTGCCTAATTATGCCTATTACAACCACTAGTTGTAACTAGGGAAATAATTAGAAAACAAAATCAAAACATAAAAAAAATATATCTTTTTCAAATAAGAATCAGAAAAGGTTTAGCTCAAAAAAATAATAAATAAAATGTTAAGACAACAAAATTTAACATTTATTTATGTGTCACCACAAACAGTTACATGGAGAAATACAAAATTCAAAAACTTACATGTGTCATCCATTATTTTTTTTTTTTAAACAAAACAAAGTAAAATCAAAAAATAATAAAACGAGCTGTCATAAATTAACATTAAATTTAAAAAAAAAACTAAACACATAAATTGACAGCTCAACTCAAACTAAAATTTACAATTTTAAATGTAACGAAAGTAATTATTATTTCATAAAAAAAATGTCTGTCTTTAGTTTAAAATTTGAACAAAATGTTACCTTAATTCACATGACACACTTAAGTTTCTGAAACCGTAACTGGAACTGAGGGCTCCACTCTCTCTGCATCACGAAAACCTCCATCTCCAAATTGCCAAAAGCCTTGGGTGAGAGCAGGAACAAAAAAAAAACAAAACGAGGATGTTCTCCAATCCTCACTCAAAACATTAATAATTGAAGCATTTACTGCCACAAAACCAATAACAAACTGCTACATATTCTTCATAACAAAAGACGAAAACAGAATACTTTACAAATTCGACGTGAATTTGGACATAACGCTGAACCGCTCTTGAAAGCTGCTCCAACGAGAGTGACGAAATTATCTCTTAAAATTGATCGCATAACTTGAAAAAAAACAAACACTTGACATAGCAAAATCAACGAACGACGTAGATATCTTTTGCGACGCATCAACATAAAAAGAATTTGCCGAAGTAAAATAAACAACTCTCAAATGGTTTTATTACTCGGCGACGAAACACTTTTGGGTACTTTGAAAGATACGAACTAACAACACGGGAGAATTCTTCGTTTCAATTTTTAAAAATATATAAGGAGTTTTTAATATATTTTTTTATACGAGGAGGTTTTAGTATACTCAAAAGAATCAATGAAATTGAAAATGCTGCAAAGTTAAAATCAAAGCTTAATAATTATCAAATAGTTGGAAGTAAATCTATGATTTTCTTGGTTCTTTTTCACTACTTAAGATTAAATAAAATATTTCATTAACTTTAGACCACATGGTCAGTTGATGTGCTGATTTTTTTATAAGTTGCTATATGTTGTTAGTTAATTGATTGTTTATACAATATCACCGTATAATGTCCATTTACTTGAATTTTATTCACAAACTTGTTAATATCTTTGATTGCTACATGTTTTTTTAAGGTAACATTTATAACATCGTTTCCATGATTGTGTGGTTCTTATATTGTACTTTTTAGATGAACTGATGATGCTTTCAGAATACAAAAGCGAAACGTCTTTAAAATAGGTAAAGTAGCCTATCAACTTTGTCTTTTATTTCTCCACAATGAAAATTCGTTGCAAAACAGGCCTTTTACCGTAAAATGTTACAAGCAAATATTGATTGTAGTTTCAAAAGCGGACAAAGCCGAAGCGTCTTGGTTGCAAAATCGGACATCGACGTTTGACCAATGGACTGCAATCAAATGACGTAGCACGTGTCTGGTTTGTTATTCCCGGCAGCGTGATCATTACTACTTTCCAATCATAATACGTTACAGCGCTTTGTTACAATATTTTAGAGATAAATAAATCCTTCAGTGAGGTTAGCATGGGTTCTGGAAGGAAGAAGAAAGTACAGAAAGCATAATAGAGAAGATCTAAAGCTAAAGTTAACAGGTAAATATTATAACGATGAAGTGCGTGGTGTATGAATTAGTTTTTCGAGAATGCAAAAACTAACCTCAAAAATTGCATTATGTATCAATAAGTCAAAACTTAACAAGCGTACACGAAACGTATTTCGGAAAGCTTTACCTAAATGCGATTGGTAAAATACAATGACATGTTTTTATTATCTTTTTTAATGGCACTTAAGCCATTTTTGTTTTGTTGTAGGTATTTGCCTAAAGGTTTACCTGCATTTCCAAAGTTTAAGCATTTAGTAGCAAAAACCGAAAGAAAAAACAGTTTATTATTTTGTTCGAAAACGAAATTTAGAAGTAGTCCAAGTGTGCTGAGATGCTTTTCTTGGATTGCTAGGTATAATCAAGCACCGCGTCAATAGTGTTTGAACACGTTTCCAAGTCGATGGTAATTTAAAAGAGAAAGAGGTGGGACAGAAGAACAGACCTTTATAAGGATAAATTGGAAGCAGTAAAAACGTTTATTAAGACATTAAAAGCTAATGAATCTTATTATTCTTAAGGTGGTCTTTGGAAGTCCTAAAACAGATGTATACTCAACATGTATTGAACTAAAGGAACGAATAAAAGTCGAAAATGATCTTGATAAAAAGAAAGAATTGCAGATTAAACAAGAACTTCATTCAAGACGCGCCTAAGCTTTTTGGCCATTTTAAAGAGAAGACTGATGGATTAATGACTTTTTCATACGATTGTGAAAAGAATTTTTTGCTGCCAAAAGTACCTGACCAAAGGGCTTACTATAGTCGTCAACTTTATCTATAATTTCATCGTTGTTAAAAGTTCTTCAAAGGGAAACAAAAATAATCTTGGATGGAATACGAACGATACAAAGGATCAAATGAAATTGCATCAGCAGTATGTAATTGTCTGAAAAGGAATGAGCCTATTATGACTGACATTCATACTTTACGTCTAGTATCCGATGGATGTCCTGGATAAAACAAAAAATATACAATATTAACTACGTATGCAAAATGGCTCCAGGAAGCTCCCAAGAACGTAACTGAACTTCATATCATATTTTTGGTAACAGGTTATTCCTATATACCTTCAATCGAGTACTTGGTATCAGTAAGAAAAAATTGAGGCAGATAGACACCATAATATTTCCTGATACATATTATGCAGTTTTTGAGGAGCAGGCAATATTGTTTTTATTAAAAAAAGACTGGATTGTCCAGAATTGGAAAAAAGAAGCTGATGCAGTCATTAAAGCACCCGTTCATCACATTTCAAGATTTCCCAAATAAAGCCATATGCAAGTAACCTTAATAACACTGTAGATTATTAATCAGTTAAGATAGGCTAATTATTTTTTTTCAATTATAAAGATTTGTGTGCACTTCCTCATAGTAAAAAAAAAACGTTAAAAATACCTATCAAGTTTTATTTTACAGTTTTTTGCGTTTTTCTCTAAACTACTTAACTGTGACATGTCTGGTTTTATATCTACACGTTAAATATTTTAAAGCAACGACTTGTTGACTGCTCTTTTGTTGTGAGACCATTCAGCAGTTAATTTCGTGAATTCACTGGTAACCATTTTCCTTTCTTTATTTTTAAACAACGTGGCCAAATTGTGCTACCTTAAGCTAAATATAAACCTTTGAGTATCGATTATTCAATCATACAATCAATGTTACATATTATGGGTATAGGGAGTTAAGCCGCAATTGATTGTGATAAAAATTACATTTCTAATAACGTTATTGTGACCACTCCGGCAATTGGTTTCAATAGTTCAAACATCATTATAATAATCAATGTCATAATACATTCAAAAATTAAAATATTTTACTTACATAAAAATATAATTTAGATAAGTTAAGAATGTTTTGTGAATTTAATAATTTAATGGTTTAACCTCATGTTGTAAGTTTTTATATTAGTTTTATACAATGTTTTTTAATTCTAATTTCATTGTATTTACCATAACATATTTTAGCATATCCTGATGAAGCAAATAAATTTTGCAAAAGCTTGATTTAAGAACAAAGAGTTTAACTTATCCTGCCCTACTTAAATGACTGCATCCTCAAAGCAAAGCAAAATCATAACCAAAACTACTCATCATAACTTTTTATGGTTCTAACATAATAACATACAAAATAAAACTGGATGCTCGATTTGACGAATCGGCACCAGTTACAGTTCGTTGGCTTTTAAGCATAACGACACAATGGCAGATTTCTACTAACATGGCTCTAGCCTAACCAAAACGTGGAACAGACCAGTGTTGAAGTTTCTGGGAGCGAAAAGAGGGGTGCTTCCAGCTCAACAAAGGCGGGTGGCCAACAACATAGCTTAAACAAGCTTCGCTATGGTTATCCACATAATAGATAACCAAAACAAATATCAAACAATAACAAACTTGACTATAACAGTCAAGCAATGAATTTTCAACCACTGGTTGAAAATTAAACCAACACAAAAGAAGAAAACAGGATGGCCAATAGTTCCATAGAAATATCCTCAGGGATCGACACAGCGAAAATTTTCCAAGTCAGGAAACTCCCAAAAGGACAAAAGAAGAAATAAATCCAAAACGCTAATACACAATCTTGGAAAAGAAAAAAGAACAGGGGCACATGGCATACAAGCCATAATCAATACACAATCAGTTCAGTCTTAAACTAAATACTTCCAAAAGAAACAAAAAAAATCGCAACAGTCTTCCAAAGAAAACAAAAAAGTTACGACAACACTCCAAAACAAACAAAAACATCATTACAGATCTCCAAGGGAACATAAGAAACACTATAATCTTCCAAAAGAACAAAAAATCATTACAGTCCGTCATCAACAATAAAACTTCCAACTGGGTACACAAATCTCAAACTTCAGGGCAAGAAGGGTAAAGAAGAAGAATAAATATACACAAGGCAAAAACTAATGCTTATCTTCCTTAAAAGCTCAACAGGTCACCTGGCGGACGAATCCAAAACTCATCGACCTAGCCGTTCCTCTCGCGACAACTAATAAGGTCAAATACACAGTTTGGGAAGGGAATAAAGAGGCAACATTAAGAAATAAACTTCATCATTTCAATTATTGTTTGATATTTGTTTTGGTTTATCTATTATGTGGATAACCATAGCGAAGCTTGTTTAAGCTATGTTGTTGGCCACCCGCCTTTGTTGAGCTGGAAGCACCCCTCTTTTCGCTCCCAGAAACTTCAACACTGGTCTGTTCCACGTTTTGGTTAGGCTAGAGCCATGTTAGTAGAAATCTGCCATTGTGTCGTTGTGCTTAAGAGCCAACGAACTGTAACTGGTGCCGATTCGTCAAATCGAGCATCCAGTTTTATTTTGTATGTTATTATGTTAGAACCATAAAAAGTTATGATGAGTAGTTTTGGTTATGATTTTTGTTTGTTGTTTTTTTGTTCTGTTGGAGTTATTGAAGTCATTATGTGTTGTTGCAGTAGTTAGAAAATGCTAATGTTGTTCCAACCTGATTGTTGTTCGCCCTAAACGAAAACTTTTCCTGTTAGTCCAGTTTTCGCTCTTACGTGGGGTATTGTAGCATTTTCAATTTCATTGATTCTTTTGAGTATAATGAAACCTCTTCGTACAAAAAAAAATATATTAAAAACTCCTTATATATTTTTAAAAAATGAAACGAAGAATTCTCCCGTGTTGTTAGTTCGTATCTTTCAATGTACCCAAAAGTGTTTCGTCGCCGAGTAATAAAACCATTTGAGAGTTGTTTATTTTACTTCGGCAAATTCTTTTTATGTTGATGCGTCGCAAAGGATATCTACGTCGTTCGTTGATTTTGCTATGTCAAGTGTTTGTTTATTTTCAAGTTATGCGATCAATTTTAAGAGATAATTTCGTCACTCTCGTTGGAGCAGCTTTCAAGAGCGGTTCAGCGTTATGTCCAAATTCACGTCGAATTTGTAAAGTATTCTGTTTTCGTCTTTTGTTATGAAGAATATGTAGCAGTTTGTTATTGGTTTTGTGGCAGTAAATGCTTCAATTATTAATGTTTTGAGTGAGAATTGGAGAACATCCTCATTTTGTTTTTTTTTGTTCCTGCTTTCACCCAAGGCTTTTGGCAGTTTGGAGATGGAGGTTTTCGTGATGCAGAGAGAGTGGAGCCCTCAGTTCCAGTTATGGTTTCAGAAACTTAAGTGTGATCATGTGAATTAAGGTAACATTTTGTTCAAATTTTAAACTAAAGACAGACATTTTTTTTATGAAATAATAATTACTTTCGTTACATTTAAAATTGTAAATTTTTGGTTTTGAATTGAGCTGTCAATTTATGTGTTTAGTTTTTTTTTTGGAAATTTAATGTTAATTTATGACAGCTCGTTTTATTATTTTTTGATTGTACTTTGTTTTGTTTAAAAAAAAGGTTAACCTCCATGCAATTTTGTAAGTTTTGTAGCAATGGAGTTTGTTAATGGATGACACATGTAAGTTTTTGAATTTTGTATTTCTCCATGTAACTGTTTGTGGTGACACATAAATAAATGTTAAATTTTGTTGTCTTAACATTTTATTTATTATTTTTTTGAGCTAAACCTTTGTTGATTCTTATTTGAAAAAGATATGTTTTTTATGTTTTGATTTTGTTTTCTAATTATTTCCCTAGTTACAACTAGTGGTTGTAATAGGCATAATTAGGCACCTCAAGTGGCGCCCTATATTAAATTCCTTGAGGTGTTTCTTGTTTATTTTTATTTTTGTTGATCCAAAGAGCCCTTTATTTCATTTTTCTTGTAGTTGCCCCATTCTAACCCCTTTATCTTTTACTTATCCACGACCCCAGCTCTCCTACGAAACCCTGAGTTCCTTTCGCACTTGTTACGATTATTTTGTTTGCCCAATCTTCTACCCCTCATGTTCTTACCCTGAGGTAAGCAAAATAATATCGTTACAACTTTTGGTAGCATTATTAAAGTGATGTTAATAGAAAATTATTTTAAAAAGTAGTGTAAATGAAGTTACCGATCTAAGCCTTACAGCTGCTGCTGGAAAAATGGCGTTAAATGAAACAGACCGAACTAAACCGTAATAAGCCAACCTTGAGGTCAAAAATTTTTTTGACAGAGCAACAAGGTAGAGGTACCACCCCAAACAATTGGGCGGTCTATTTAAAAGTTTAAATGAGTTTGGATGACAACCCGCTTGTAATAGACAAACCAATGAAAGAAATTGGTATTGTAATAGCAATTCCTCGCATTAACCAGTCTAGAACTAACAAACAGGAGAAATTCATTCAACCTCATATATAATTAATAACGTTAAACATTATGGCTGGATAATCCGCCACAGGTGATCAACGACAAGATAATTTCCACAGCCCAAGGTTCAAACGCTTGGAACTGTAATTTGTAAAGGATTCTAGG